CTCTCTCTCCTTGCCTTTTAAAAATAAAACCCTTAATAAAAATAAAGAAAGCAGGCTCCAACATGAGAAAAGCCCAGGGGAAAGATGAGAGCATGAGTGGGAGGTGGGCCTTGGAAAGAGGAAAACAGTCCACGCGCACTCTGTCTCATTCTTCCCCTACCCGTCCTTTCGTTCCAGGATGAACAGAAATGAAAGAATGGAAAAGTGAGTGAATCCTTTCTAGTTTTTAAACCTCCCTCTCTAAAAACACTCCCCTCTGTAGGTACATAGATACACACATGTATATACAGCCTCCCATTATTTATCAGTGTTGTATATGCTCTTTAATAGCCATTAGCACCTCCATATTTACTACAGCTGGAAAAATTCATAAAGATGGACATGCAACACTGCCTTCACTTGGCAATTTATCCTTTCTTGCTTCAGAAAATGTGCAAAGATAAACCTTACGACATTTTAAAAACTATAGAAAATTTAAACTAAGTATCCCAAAGCCGACTCTCTCCTTTTAGCAGAGAGGTTATCAAGTACTTTATTGAAAGATTTGCCTGCCATCTATTTCCTGGACTTGGGTTGGATACGAGTGCCTATCTCCAGGAAAACAAAATGGTTTAAAGGCAGTCAACTGGAAAGAAAGAAGTCCAAAGTAGCCGGCATGCTCCATAACGGGAGGGTCGGTCTCTAAACAAATCAAGAGGCGGTTCTGCATTAAGGAATGAGAAGTGTCATTTCCAACATACGATTCCTGCAAATAATTCGGTTCTACTCAAGCTTGATTTCAAAAGTGGATAACCAAAGCCAGAATTAAATGGAGGCCTATGGGAACATCACCTATTTTGAATCACCTCCAAATTTCAGTGGTAAAATAAGATGTTGGTCTGAACACAGCAACTTTCTAGCCTCCCTGCACTAGTAAGACATCAGCTAGGAAAACAAAAACAAGATTCATGCAATTATACTGGAAGAAAAGGAAGCTGATTAAAAAAAGAAAGGATATGTTTATGTTGCAAAATTGAATATCTCATCAGCTTTTCTGAAATACTTGGGAAGTTGAGAAAGTAAACAAGCATACAAAATGCATTTTGAAGCCTTTCATTTAAGTGTAGGTTAATATGTTCCATATGCCACTTTGTCTTTTGAAAGAAAATGCTGTAAAGTAAACTTATTAAAAAGCACTTGTCAAAAACAACTGTCTCCAAATATCTTCATTACATTTAAGAATACAAGCACAAGTTCATTTAGCACTATAAAGAGAAAATGTTTTTTTCCAACCTCAGTTGCTAGAAACACACGACACTATTTGTGACAAATACTTCATTTTCATGGAAGAAGCCAAATCCAGTTTTACGGAAATACGATGTGCTAGAGGAAGAAGCTGAAGCTGCAGGATAGAAAAATCTTCAGCAAACACTTGTGAGACCACACCCCCTACAATCTGACCACCAGAAACATGCATCCATTGCTGCTTCTGGAGGGCTCTATCAAGACGTTTTCATAATCCTTGCATAAAATATAACTAGACACATAAACAGAAGAGATGTAAGTCACTACGTACCAAGCTCGAGAAATTCCAGAAGACCATAATAAAGTTACGATTTGTCCATCCACCTTTCTGTAATTCTGCCTGAAATGTGCCTTACAATCATTCCAAAATGTAAAGCTAGGCAAATGACCATCTACCACATAAATAAATCATGAGGTCCCAAGACAGATACAGGCAATAGGGGTTAACAGTAGCTAATAATGACTGTCATAAAGGGGGGTGAGGAGGCAGCAAATCTTAACCCTGTTATCGTCCAAAGCATCAGTTGTCAATCAGCTTCTCTAAATACTGGCAATCTCTCCACTCTCCAAAGCTATTCATTCTCAGCATTGTGTTTGTGTGCCTAATTAATAACAAAAATTAGCACAGCCTGATGCCATTAGTGATTATTAAATGCATTTTTATTTTAAGATCTAGTTCTCAAAATAGGAGGAAAGAACTGTGATGGGTTATTACAGTTATAATACAAGCTTTTATCCAAAAGTAGAGGGATGGGGGGGCAACATTCTATTTTCAATCCTCCGGCATATTTTGAAATGAAACATAGAGTTAAATTATACATTTGCTCTCTATTCCAGACTGGATGCAATTGATTTTAACTGACTAAATTATCTGATCTCTGCCAAGAATTTTATTTCATTAAGAAAATGATATTATGGAGCATCTGAGATCATAGAGCAGACTAAACATAATGCCAAAGGAGTTCTGAGAATGCTCCACAGTGAAGGTTTGATTATTTGCAGATGGAATATGAAAAAAAGAAAAAGAATCAGGTCCCAGGGGTAAGCCTAACCAATCCTGGTACCACTGCCGCCTACATCGCAGCACAAAGCCAAGAAAATAACTGATCTAAGCTACAACACCTCTTTTTTAAAGTACTAATCACATTTCTTCCTAGAAAGTAATATTTAACTGCCACTATCCAAAACAAAGGAGGAAAAGGAAATGTTGGTCCCACAATAAGCTCTAGCATGTCAACTGTCACTGCTGACATGATCTGGCCAGTAGTCCAGCATGCACCAAGGAACTAATTTAAATCAATCTCCTTTGGGAAAGCCAATTGTTTGGTATGCACAACAATTGATGTAGGATCAATCAGTGGACATGAGATCAATTAAAACCAGCTTAAGTTTGTGACGAGGGACAATTCACACAACTTGAGTTAGATCTCCATTCATTTCAATACTCTCACAATGCAATTCTTAAGCTTCCTTGCAAAGCAGAAAAGCTACTATCACCCTACACTGTCTAGCCAGCCTTTAAGTAGTTCCACTTTTAATTAAAAACACAGTACACCCTTTGTTGGCACAGATAGTGTGGTCACTTTTAAAGACAGCAGTTATTTTAGCCAGAAACTTGGGATTTTGGAAGGGACATCTGTTCAGGAAAAAAAAAAAAAGAAAAAACTTAATAGATTTTTTTAACAACCTTACCAATTTACATGTACTGGAAAGCATTTGAATTTTATTAAGTCGAAAGGTTGGTTTGGCAAAACTCAGTATGCACACTTTAGAATTGGGTTTATAAAATGTCAGCACATGGGGGTGTGGAGAGCAACTGCTCCAAGAGAGTTTTCACTAAAGCAGGCTTTGAAATAAACAGGTTCTGCCTCGGATATCCAGGAAGGCAGGGTATCTGCAGGGAAAAGCGTGCAGTATCACTTCTGGCCGCAGGAGTGCTGTAATGTCATTCTCCAGCAAACAGCATCTTTGCGCTGGTTTCTACTAAAACGTGCAAAATTCCGCTGCATTCAACCACAATGGGACAGGCAGTGTGGACGAGAAAATAACCTCCGAATTAAGAAGTCCTCTACGAAACAAGATTTTGGCAAAGGGTTTCAGTTATTTCTATATATTTTGCAAACTTTAAGATCTTTGGCCTTTCAACTAAACAGATTGCAGCTTTGGCTTATCCAAGGGCCGAAACCTCTCCAAACACTTAAGACCCCAAGATAACCAAATATTGCCAGCTCTGCCCAACCTTACCTGGAAAACAAATTCCGGAGTACAGGAGCAGGTTGTGAGGGGAGAGGAGACAGAAAAGGACTTTTCCAAGGCGAGCATCAACAATATCAAACTTCCATGGCCTCTGGGAAGAAATTGCTCCCTAGTATTTTTATGTGGGATAGTTTCTGAAAATGAGAAGTATTTTCTAAGAGACAAAAATGAAAGATAGCAAGAGGTGTAGGGACAGGTGGCGGTAACAATGGCGAGCAGAGGCTCCAGAAGTCACCAGCTATCCTGAATTTTCCCCTAGACGGACCAACCTCGAACCCTGGGCGAGAACAGTTTAACGCCCTAAAAAGCCCTCTCCACCCTCTAGACAGAAGGCCAAGGAATCCCATAAAATGAGTTCTAAACAAATCACATCACAGGCCAAGTGAGACATTTATATCCCAGCAAAATTAAGATCTACGAAACAACCTCACGACAAAGTCTGCGCTGGGCGAAGACAAACAGCTTTCACCAGATTCCCGCAAGAGGCTGCTGCGCACTTCCCCCGCGAGAGTAATTGAAGGTGTGTGTGTCTGGTGTGGTTTATGTTGAAGTCCACCAGAAGGCTTAATTGCGCCTAACAGCACTTGCCTTAAAATGCAGTCGAATTAGCTACAGCCCCGGCAGGACTGGAAGTTAGAAACACGCGCGCACTCAATCTGCAGGAAAGCTAATTCTCTGAGACCTTTCTGGAGTCTTCCATTCGCTTTCCCCGCTGCGCACACAAGTGATGGAGACACACCAAGTGGTTAAAAAGCCGCAAGTGAATTTCATTGAGAACAGAAACCCGTCGGAATGGCAGCTTTCATGGAGAGCAAATGGATGGGAGCACGGAGGGTGGGGGGCTGCTTAGAAAAAAAAAAAAAACCCGCAGAGGTACACTCCCCAGGAAAATTAGCGCACGAGCTGCTCATTAACTAAGAACTCATTTCGTCTCAAGTTCTAGCAAGAGAGATCACTGTTGCCCTTTTCCTGGAAAAAACAGGTCCTCCGCCTCTACTAGGCGCTCCTCCCCAGCACCCACCAACCCAGTGCTAGGTCTTGTTCACAGCTTTCTGGGGCCGGGATTTGGGGAGCACGTGGGTGGGGAAGGTAGAGAGAGAAACGCACCACAGGTTAGATGGCTAAGCAGACAAAGAAGGAAAAAAAAAAGAGGAAAATGGAGCCAGATAAGAAAAGCGACCGAGAGAGAAGCGCGGCAGCGAACTTGGGTGCGCAGCGCACGACTTAGCGCGGAGCGCTCGCAAGACGCAGAGCTCAGGGGCCCCCTGCGCGTCGCGCTCACAGCGCCTACTGGGGACAGAAGCGACGGAGCGTCCCGCAGAGTCTCCGGGCGCCCAGAGTGGGAGGTGTGGCCCGCGAGAGCTGGGGTGGAGAGCAAGGTCCTGCCCAAATGAGCCGGCGAGCCCAGGCGTGGGTGAGCGCTGCGGGACGCCGCGCTCTTGGGGCAGAGGGGGACCCACCTCGCTTATTGCGTCTCCATCGGTTGCCTTGGCAGTGGCTGTAATCCATACAGTTCAGAATGATGAGCGCAAAGGAGAAGAGGCGAAACTGCATCTGGACGGTTGACTGGGGAGAGGCGCCTCTCAGAGTCGGGGAACTGGAGGGCTCATCCAAGAAGCCGGCGCCGGCGCGCTGCTGGGGAGGACTCGGAGGGCGAGTCGCCGCTAGCCCGGGGCCGCACGCGTCAGTTCGGCGCGAGCAGCATCTCTCCGCCGTGAACCTGAGACGAGGAGCGAGAAAGAGTGGGTGGATATGGAGACAGCCCCGGGGAGGCAGCTGCGCCTTCGCGCGTCCCAATTTAAAGACGGGAGGGGAGGAGGAAGCGAAGCCCCTGCCTGGCACGAGCGGTGGAGCGCACAGCTGCGGACAACAGGGAAGCGTGATTACAATCAGTGAATTAGCAACCTCTGCGGAGCCCCAGGCTCCGACCCCGCGCAAAGGGCGTCGTGCGGGCGCTGCGGAAAACGGACAGAGCCCCCCACCCTACCCCACCCCACCCCCATAGCACCGAGAGCTCAGGGTTCAAAGAACGCTCTTGGGCTCTTTGCGCCCCACGGCAGAGTCTCCCGGCGCCGCAGCAGCGGCGGCCAGGTATGGGGCGCCTACCGTGCGCACGTCGGTCTCGGAGGGCGCGGCGTGCCTAGGCACGGCGCTCCATCCCAGGTCGGGAAGCCGGCCGCTTCGTTAGCACGTGGGCCAGGGGAAAGTTTGCGGCGAGCCACCGGGAGCGCCTGGCAGCTACCGGGTCCCAGCGGCCGCCGCAGGGCTGGCGTGCGCCGAGGGTCGTCTGGGCGGGCGGCGCCCGGTATGAGCTGCCCTGGACAGGCACGTACGCGGCCACTGGGATGCTGCGTCCCGCTCGCAAGTGCTACCCCTGGGCAACGGGTGCGCCCGCTCTCGCTTCCCACTGCGTCCCTGTCCAATTGCGCAGCTTCCCGGGCTCTCTCCACGGCCCCTTCACAGCCAAGCCTTCGTCGTTTCCAAGCTGTGGGAGACAGAGATGTGGCGAGCGCACTTTCCGATGGAGATGCAGAAGGGCTGAGGCTCGGGATGCTTCTATAAGTAGGTGGTGCTGTGGTCCAAGGCATCTAAGTCCAGGCTGCCTCGGAGTTCCTGGGTCCTAAAGCCAGAAACGCTCTGGTTTCCCTGAGGTCCTAAAGAGCGCGGACGGTTTAGAGCGAGCCTCTGCCCGGGCGAATCCCTGTGCGGGCTTTCCCAGAGGAGGTGGCGAAAATGAAGAGTTGCTTGTGACAGAGCGCGCCCTGGCCTTGCTGAGCCTGCCTGGGAGCCCCGCCATTCGCCCTCGAGACGTCCTCTCAGGCGCTGTGCGGTCGGTCCCGAGCAAATCGCCAACCTTTCTGCAGAAGGATCGGACTGATGTCTCCGGCTGGATCTTGCTTTCTTTCCAAGCTCTAGGCCGAGACCGCTGTTTCTTACCGAAAGAGTTTCACCTTGAGCCACATCCCAGAAGATGCCACACCTCTGTCACTTTTTAGTTTGCATCTAGCTTTGTTTTGTAGGCAGATGCGTCAGCACAACTCAAATTAAAATGTGCCCTCTGTTTAGGTGGTGACGGGAGTGTTCCAATAGCTTTTGCTCATCTTCAAAACTACAAGTTCTCTTGACTTTGGTCCTCTCCTGGAAATCTTACAAAAACCTGTGCAGTATTCAAGAAATTGGGACCTTGATTCTTTAAAGAAAATCTCGCTTCCCACTGGAGTGTTTCTCATTCCTAATCCTCCTCCCTCCTACTCTTCCCACTCCCAAAGTCTCCTGCATGAAACTTCGGGTGCCTTGGATTTGGACAAATACCCTATTTAACAATGTGTTGTGTTAAATACACTTGATGCTACCTGATTGCATTCTGGTAAACCGCTCTGCTGCATTCACTGCTGTGAGAAAGAATGTGCTTAGTCCTCTGCTAAACCATGGCACTGGGAGTGTCTCCATAGATATGCCCACGGATACCATATTATGGTAACATTTCTTGGCATTTAAATTCCCTTTTGTATTCCTTCAGTTTCAGAAGACATTCAGAAAGTTAAAGACTCGAGACAATTATATAGAAGCCATAGAAGGTTAAAATAATGATTGCTGTATTTCACAATTGTATATATGGCTATTTTATGCATTGCAAGTATATAGCGATATTTGTGTGTGAAACATTTCAATGTTAGGGACCTGGGTTGTGCATAGTGGGTTAAGCCACTGCCCACAACACAGGTATCCTACATGGGAGCAGCGGTTCAAGTCCAGACTGCTCTGCTTCCGATCCAGTTCCCAGCTATTTGCACCTGGAAAAGCAGTGAAAGATGGCCCAAATACTTGAGTCCCTGCCATCCATGTGGGAGACCCAGATGGAGTTCTAGGCTCCTGGCTTATTGTGGCCATTTGGGGAGCAAACCAGCAAATGGAAGTCTCTCTCTCTCTCTCTCTCTCTCTCTCTCTCTCTCTGCCTTTCAAATAATTAAATCTTTTTTTAAGATGTCAGTGTTACTTCCTTTATGCCTAAGGACAGCCCAGGAATCTGAGGTGAGATCACTGGTACCACTTCATAGATAAGAAGATCCAGCCCTGAGACGGGCCCACAAGGCACAAATAAAGATGAGAAGATGAAAAGTACAGAAACAATTGATCTGTTTCTGGCCTTCTGAGTCCTTGATTTTTGTCACAGAATTTGGAAGAAACTGAGAACACTTCAGCCTGGGAGTGGACCAGCTTTAGACATAATGACTTGATATACTACTGAATAGCTCTTCAACACCATAAATGCATACTATCCAGAGTATCCTTGCATGTACACAACAAATACATTGCACTTGGAAAGGAGGTAAATCTATGGGAGAAAACAGTCTCTTCTAATAAGCCCCCTGCCTTCCTATATACCTTTGAGTCTCATTCAAGTTCCATAGTTAAAGGTCCGTGTTTGGCACAGTAGTTACGTCACCTCTTGGAATGTCTACATGCCGTAATAGTGCTTGGTTTATATCCTGGCTTGTCTACTTCCAACTCAGCTTCCTGTGGATGCACATTCTGGGAGGCAACAAATGAAAACTCAAGTACTTGGGTCCCTGCCACCCACGTGGAAGACCTGGAATGAGTTCTGGGCTCCTGGCTTCCTCATGGCCCAGTGCTGGCTGTTGCCAGCATATGGGTTGTGAACCAGCAGATGGAAGGTGTCTCTGTATCTTTTGCTGAATCTGTGTATGTGTCTATCTCTTTTTCTCTGTATCTCTCTGACTTTCAAATGCAATGAAAAAAAAATAAATGTTTTTAAAGACCAATGGTTTTCTGTGTCCTACATTTAAAAACAAAAATAAGCACAAGTCCAAGCAGACCTAGCTCTACCATGAACCACCTGGCTCATTTTAGGCAATTCTCTGGATCTCTCTCCTTGGCAGTATTGTTAGAAAAGCAGACCAATGTCTCTTTCACCTCTGCCATGTTTTTGGTATACAATCAAGTTTGTCATTTTGATGAGAAGGGCAAACCACTGAAGGACAAACTCATCAGTGATGGGGTTCTCTGTGGGGAAAGAAGAGAATTAACATTGTCAGTCTTAGTTAACTTTATACGCCACCTTCAACCTTATCCCGTCAAAGATAACACTCCATAATTGTATTTATTTGAGAGACAGAGAGACTAAGCCCCTCTGCTAGTTCACTCCCCCAATGCCCACAAAGGGCCAGTTCTGGGCCAAACCAAAGTCAGGGAACACTATCCAGGTCTCCCACATGGGCAGCAGGAACCCAATTAATTCAGCCATCACTGCTGCCTCACAGAGTCTGCACTGGCACGAGGCTGAAGTCAGGAACTAGAGCCGAGGATCAAACCCAGATACTCCAATGTAATATTCCTATGTGGGACACAGGTATCTTAACCACCAGGCTAAATGCCTGCCACTCCATAATTTTAACCATTTGCCCACTTGTCTTTTTTCATGTTTACATCTATTAAACAAATTGACCAAGTTTTCACAGAGCTGGTGCTGTAAAAATTCTTTTTAATGAGCTGAATCTCAGGGTTCAGTTAACTGAAAAGTAACTCTGGTTAATAAAATGTCAGCTGGGGGTGGGTGTTCTGGCACAGTGGTTTAAGCCAGCCCTCCAGACAGCCATATCCCACTTCAGAGTGCTGGTTTGAGTCCTGGATACTTTGCTTCAGATCTAGCTTCCTGTTAATGCATCCTGGGAAGTAACAGATGATGGCTCAAGTACTTGGGCCTCTGCTACCAACTCGGGAAACCTGGATGGAGATGCTGGTTCCTAGCTGCAGCCTGGGCCAGCCCTGACTGCGGAGGGCATTTGGGGAGTAAACCAGTGAACGGAGGATCTGTGTCACCCTTTCTCTGCTGCTCTCTCAAGTAGATGTTTTCACAGCACCAGCTTTGTGAAAACTTGGTCAATTTGTTTAATAGGACAAAATAGGTTATGGGGGACATTAAGATTCCTAGTTCTTTCTTCTTATGCTCTCTTCTGTCTCTGTTTTTTAAAGAACCCCACTGCATTTCAAAAACCTGTCATTCTTTGATTTTGGAATACCTACGAGTCTCACATATAATCCATGTGGCTAATTTGTTGCTAATGCAGACCTTTTTGTTATCTACTGAATATTTTCCCTGATTTCGAGAGCCCAGGATTGTTCTTGCTACTAAAAAAATACACCCTAGCAGTTCCTAAACTGTAATTAACTTTAATCCCCTTCCTCTGCTTCCTTTCCTTTCTAAGCTCTGAACGTGTTGTTGTTAAGGTTCACAGGTTCTCCTTCTTGGAGACTCAATGGACATTTTCTTCAATTTAAGTAAACATGGTGAGCTCATCAAACTCACTTTGTGAATAGACAGGTGCCTCATCAGCATATTGATGAGGTTGACTGCATTTCACTCAAAAGTGATAGAGCAGTTAACTGATGGCAAGGGTTCTACTAAGGAGGCAACTTTTGTATTCTACTTTCTCGACTT